GCAGTTCTTCACCAGATTTTAGAGACAGTGAGCCCAGGGTTGGTATCTGACACCACCCCCCCCACCAACACCACCAGTAACCAGGCATAGACACACACCGTGACAGTCACCACATCTGCAAGTCACGAACGTGTGTGATACCACCCCCAGGGATCAGTTTGATAAAATGAAACCCATCTGCCAAGCTGTCAGGAGCAGGAGGGAGCCTTTTCCCCTTCTCTTGGTTATTCTGGTGCTCATTAGCACCGGCAGGTGCAGAAGGCACTTACAGACACCAATGGCAGAGCTCACTGATGCCAGACTGCCCTAAACAAGAAGGATATGTACCCACCAGGCTGTGCCCCTTCCCTCTGACGTTATCTAGGCTCTTGTTTGATGAGCTACTTGGCATACATGCGCTCATCTCAGCTAGCACTTCTAAGAGCTCTTGCTGGCCAGGTGATACCGGGATTTACAGCCATTTCCATTCCCTCCAGCCACTCCTTAGAGATGGGACACAGCACCATATTCTGCAGAAGAGCAGGTAGAAGACATGACAGATACACCCCCCCTCTTCCCCCCCACCTTGGCTGGATGCACACCCAGATATGCATACACATACTATCAAAAAGTGCTAGGATCCACCCTGAATCCTACTACAGACAGCAGCTATGCACAGAGATAGTGTAGCTGGCATGAGGACAGTGTAGCAATGTGGGGAGAAGGGGGAAGGAGGGGGGCAAATTCCACAGGCTAGGCATGTATTACAGCTGTTCCGAGATGAACAATTCCATAAAAGCAGGCAAGGACTAGAACAAATTCAACAGGGACCTAAAAAGGTGTTTTTTACCATGAGCTTCAATTATCATTTTCACCCTGCATAAAATCAGAAAGGACTTCAGGATTTAACTCAGGAATTTAACAGCTTGCAGAGATGACAGACTTCTCAAATGTTTTAAATCAATCTCCGAACAAACTAAGTCCTTCCGTGCCCTTCAGCTAAAGTTGCTCTTGTATTTTGCTTATGCTGCTGCAAAAATATCTACATACATATATTTCAAATTCCTAATCTCCATTTATTATTCAAAATGAGAAATACTGCAAAGGGAATACATTTTTTAAGTTACTGCCTTTTTTTTTTTTTCTATGTGTGAGCCATTTCCTTCATTTTAGAAGAAGCCTTTAGATCTCCTTAAGAAAAAGCATCACAAAATATGTATTAAATGGGGGAAGGGTGAAGCGTCTGGGGGGGGGGGAGCAGGAGAAAGGCAGATTTTTTTTTTCTGGGCTAAAAAACATGTTTGAGACTGAGATCCACATTCCAAGCTGGAAACTCACCTACAAAAGCAATTCCTGAAGGGGTGGAGACAACGCTACACAGTGCCTGGCACTGCCTGAGCCAAAGCTGCCTGAATTCAAGTATGATTTACCCAAGTAACACCACCATACAGTGGCTCCATTCAGACAAAATTTCCACCAACCCCCACAGATTCTGTGCGTGATGGTCCAGGCTGTTCACCTTCCTGCAAGTACCCCAAACTCCTCAGCTCTGCTGTTCAGTTGCCATGGCATGATGGAAGGCCACCTCCACCCTGAAACACAGCATCCTGGAACAAGCATTGGGAATTAGGTCTCTGTGTCAGTGAACTGCCTTAGTCTTACCTTCTGTAAAATAGGAAAAATCCTCCCCATTTCATAGAGCTTGTTGAGTACTACAGGTGAAATCACCTTGTAAATGCAAAATATTTTCACAGTTTCTCCCCACTGCCATAAAACAAGGTCATGTTTAAAAAGGTAAAGACAGTTCCCCTAGCATTGTACCATTTCCAAATGGGATTGTACCTCTTTTGAACATGGCTGTTTCTCAAGTTCCTTTCAATGACTTGAAAACTACTGAGCCAGCATACCATTAAGTACACAGTCTCTGGGGTTGTGGGTCACTGCACAGTGAATGCACTTTTCTTTAAAGCAGTTTCATTTCATTTGCATGTCATTTTCTATGCCTCTAGATTTCTACAGGTCTTTATATTGCAGAAGAGCCTCTGCAATGAGTAACTTATCTGGGTACAATACACTCCCTGAAAAAAACAATCCAAATAGCAGCAAAGTTGATAGCATGCTGCCTTCAGAGCAGCACACCAGGAATGAGTCCAGGAATAAGATGTATCAGTGAAATAAATCTCTATTTAAAAGATGCATAATGAGAATGAAAGCAGACACAGTCCATAGCCTAGGAAAGGACACTTGATCTTCTTTTCAAAGCAACTTAATTCATCTATGTCTTTAATTTCATAAAATGAACACAGTACTGGTTACAAATGACTGACTGACAGTTCTGAAGACTGAGCAGCTCTGTTTTTACAGCACTGAGTAGCATTGATCTTTCTTCTAAGTCAATAAAAAGTCTTCTTTAAGTCACTCTGTTCTGTAAGTTACTGAACACCTTCCTCAGCATGAAAGCCCATGCAAGTTGAGGCATTTAGTGAGTTCAAAGGAAGCAGAATTGGATCTCTGTGCAGCTGGTTGTGTTATGATAGGACCAACAAGAAGCCTCACCAACCACACCCTGCTGTAAAAGTCACTCAAACTTTAGTGAGATCAAGCATCTTGAAATCTAGTTAACAGGCTTAGATTTCTCAGCCTTTTTTAGCCCTTGAGGGGCCTCATTCAGTAGTGGATGGACATGGGAAGGAAAGAGGAATGGGGAAGGATTTCATCAATGAGACTCCCAGATTCCATTCATGATCCTAAAAGGAGTGATTCCTGCAACAACGACATTTCCGGGGCAAGAGCCATCTTTCAGATTGGGTTCACAGTTTAACTAATATGGTGGCCCAGCAGGCTAGCACTTATCATAACTTAAGAAAATGAGAAAAAGGGACAATTCCTTTCCCTTTGAATATTTCAAGTCATGCTACATTTCAGATATTTTGTATCCTCTTTTGGTAACTGCTTTAAAACAGACCATTAAAGAGTCTGTTTTTTCCAGCCTAACCCATGTATTGTCAATCTTGAAGCATTTTGCTAGCTAAATATAGTCCCTGCCCCACAGCCTGTGGATCAAGAGTGCTAACAGCTAATACAAAGTAATTGTTCTTTTCCCTTTGTTGACAACAGCAAGTGGCATTCTACATGTGAGAGGCTTTGCCCCTATTTCTTTTCATTCCTCACTTGGGTACAGGTCCTGTACCCCAATCTGCAGACCAGAAGAGCAGCCTGCAGCTATCTCTGACACCTTGCTGTAGAGTCATGACTGGCAGGCTTCAGGTGTGGAGAAGGGGCTTCAAGAAAAGACTAATGAACAAACAAAATGCATATATGGAAAACATGGGAGGATTACACAGGTTGATGGTACATCCCAAAGAGGTGAGTAAACGAGTATCACTCTTTTTAAACCATGATACTAAGGCACACCTGAGAAAAGTCCATGTTCACAGCAGCTTCTTAACACAATCTCTGTTCTCTTACCTTAGTGGTATTTATAGCAGTAAAAATATAAAGGAAGAAGTCAATAATAATTCCACTGAGAAACCGCAGAAGGCATGTTCTTGCCAGGTTCTCACACCTACCAAGGATGGATGAGAACACAAAACTCTGCTCAGAACCAAAACTGTGGGTGCTGGGACTTCATCGTGGAAATGTTAGCAACATGTACAGTAGAGCCGAAGTTTTCTACAAGGAACCAAGTCTGAGCACATACATGCACAAAAAGATAAAAGGAAAAAAGGGGGGTGGGGGAGGAGACTACCAAAAAAAAAGGCATTTCTGGATCCTTGCAAGCTCAATATTAGGTGCAACAGCTGTACAAACTGCTGTCTAGGTAGCCTTCCAAACTAATGAAATTGCCTATGCAACTCTGCTCGTGAAGTAGCACTCGATGGATCTAGTTATCAAACGACCACCATTCTAATTGTTCCTCAGTTTATCGATTTCCTTGTCACTATGCAGAAAATAAGAGGAGACTGTTTATAAAACATACGTACATGGAGGTGGAAAAATACAGTTCTGGGTTAAGCTACCACAGACGAAGCCACTGGGTCTCTCCCGCCGGAGAACCCGCTTTGCTCATGCTTCACAGCGGTGGTCGGATGCTGCCTGCAGACGGGTACCCACCCATCCCACCAACCGCGGGGGGAGATCCACCAGGACCCAGGCAAAAGTTGCGTACGATGCAAGCCCGTCCCCAGACGGTACCCAGAGGTGCCGGGATTGCCCAGGGCAGGGGCAGCCACCCCGGCAGGTCCGCGGCTGCCCCATCCCATGGAGCGGGTCCCCGCTGCCCCGACCCGCCGTACTTACCCGGTCTCCTCCTCACCGGCCTTTTCCTGCCGCTGCAGAAGCGTACTTTGCTGAAGACCCCTAGGACGTGCCTCTCGCAGAGGGAGCGTCCGTCCTTGCTGGGGCTGGAGCGGCGCTTGGAGGCGGACACCCGGTCGCTGTTGGACTCCCTCGCCTGCCGCTTCTGCCGGATCAACGAGCTGGCGATAGCCGCTGCCATCGCCGCTCATGGGCACCCCTGCGCCGCGCCGCTCCGGGGGGCGCCTCCCGGGCGTTGGGGCAGAGCCGCGGCCGCGCCCCACGGGGACGGGGGACGAGGACGCCCCGCTTTACGCGCTGCGGCCCCGAGTCCCGGCGCCGGGGAGAGCTCAGCCGGCCAGGCGGAGCAGGGCGCCCGGGCTAACAACCATGGCTGGGCGTTGGACCCCGCAGCCCATGGGTCTGTCCCCGGGGAGCGCAAATCCCGGCACGGGCGGCCGCCGGCGAGACCCCTGGCCGGGCTGGCAGTGCCCCGCGGCTTGTAAATCCGGGAGGCTGCTGTCCCACTTGTAATGGTTCGCCGGCGGCAGCTGTGTCCAAAGGATAGGGTGTGAAGAAAGGGGTTCGCGGAGGATCCGCGGGTCCCTGCGGCGCGGTGCCGCTCCGCCCGGGCGCAGGCGGCGGCGCTTCTTCCTGCCGGCCGCCCTCCGCCGAGGAGCCGTGGGGTGAGTCAGAGTCCCCCCGGCCCGCGGCCAGCCCCGGCCCCAGCGCGGTGGCTCCGAGGCGCGGCGCGGCACTGCGCGCACATGGACGCGGCTCTGCTCCGCACCCGCGGCCGGGCTCAGGGCGAGCCGCGCTGCATTTCTGTTTGCACTCCTCCTCTTCCTCTATCCCCCCCCTCCCCACTCCGCTCTCAGAGAGGGCGGGAGGGGAAGGAAAAAGCAGAAAAGAAGCCACGAGAAAAAGCACCAGGTCAGCAAACAAACAGAAAAAGAAGGTATGTAATTAAATTACATTAAAAAAAATAATTAAAAAAAAAAAAGAGTCTCCCGGCCGCGGGTGCGGGCTCACATCGCCGCAGCTCGGCGCCCCGGGCTCACAGCGCCATGGTTGGAGAAGCTCTCCCAGCCCTGCTTTCCGCTTCTGCCCCAGCAGCGGCTCTCCCCGACGGCAGCAACCCACATCGTCCGGCCCTGCGGGAGGCCGCGGAGCTCTCGGCACCGGGCCGGCCCCGGGCTCGGCTGCCGCGGCGGGGACGGAGGCGGGAGGAGCGATGAAAGGCGGGGAGGAGAGCGCGGGGGGGGGAGGTGAGGGGAGGGGGTGCGGAGCTCAGGATGCTCCGCTGTGCCACCCGACGGCGGCGGGACCGGGAGGAGCCGAGCCGCGCCCGCTACCCGTCTGCATCCTCCGGTCCGGCCCGCGGAGAGGAGGGGGGAGCGAGGCGAGGCGAGGGGAGGAGAGGGGAGGGAGGGGCCGGGGAAGCCCCCCCGGACTCCCACGCCGCGCGGGACTGCTGCCAAGGTGGCGGGGAGCCCCGCAACCGCCGGGCCGGGCCGGGCCGGGCCGGGCTGGGCTGGGCTGGGGAGGAATTGCAGCTGCTCCCGCTCGCCCTCGTCTACGCAATCCTACGTGATCGAGGTTTGGATGAGAAAAATCGCGCAGGCATAGAGAGGCAACTGCATCTTCGCGGCGGCCCTGCCCCTCCGCCCGGGCAAGGCAGCCCCCGAGCAGGGCAGCCCCCGAGGAGGGGAGCCGGGCTTTCCCCGCGCCGCAGCCCCGCCCGACCCTCAGAGGAGCCGCCTGTCACTTGTGCAGCCACCCGTCCTCCTCCTCGGCTTTTGCTGTAGGTGCCCGAGCACCCAGCCTCAGCAGCCAACCACCTCCATGGCTTTCCCTGCTTCTCCGTGTAAGCACAGAGAGGACGACAGCCCCGGCACCCCAAGGGCTGCGCTGCCTCGGGGCGGATGCCTCTCCTGGGAAGCCTGCAAGGCGACTGCAGTGGTGGGCACTGCCGTGCAGGCTGTCGTCAGAGCGGTCCCGCGGCAGCCCACCAGTTTATCAGCACATGCTCTGGTCGGGCTGACCCGCGGGAGCTGGGCGAGCTCCCTCCTATCTCCAGCTACAGAGCTGCACTGAACAAAATTTAAGGTGCAGAAAAACGTCTCTGGCTATCCAGATGAGTAACTGCTGTTGCTGCACTAAGAATGGTGTTCTACAGATTTCAGGTTCAAGTAAGAGCTGACGAATGTATGTGCAGGAAGTGATGAGCATCTTGCATCTCAGGGGAGCATACAGTGGTCGGAGTGGAGGGAAAGGAGATTTCAGCTGGAGAAAGGAGACCTGCCCCAGGTACACTTTGGTGAATATTAGTGGCAGGACAAGACTAACTCAGTCCTGAAGGTGTACATTTGAAGCATGTACCCAGCTGAAGAGGACACTTTAAACCAGTTGGTGACACCCCCTGGGGACTACAGACTTCAGCAAAATAATCTTTGTAACTACTTCATTGCAAGAACTTTAAACTATTTTAATGTATTGGGGAAAAAATGCAACTGAAACAACCACCCATTATGTCCATAAATATTAACTAAATTCCAGCATTACTTCCTGATTTTCACTCTTACTCCCTGGGCATGCCAAAATGAGGTGGAATCAGGTTCCCCAGGAGAGAACGGGGGAGGAAGGTATTCAGAACCTTTTGGGAAATATAAATATTTGACTGTCGATCTTTTTTTAACTGCTGCCAACTTTTTTGCGCAGATTTCACTGTTCCAATCAATCAGGATTTTTCTCCCCTTTCTTGTAACTAAAATGCTTCATATTTTAATTTTCTCTGCCAGATTATTTCACTTGACATCAAAGAACGTTGCAGTACAAGGTACAGGCATGGCCTAAAGAAAGCTGTTTGCAATCAGAGAATCACTGTCTGAAATGCCAGTGAAGCTTCACCTTCAAAGGGTATGAGCAAATCTGGTATCTTCCCAGGAAAGAGGTTTTCCATATATATATTAAGATACTTTTTTTGCCTGTAGTCTTCAAAACACTGGTGAAAGAATGCTGGTTTATTCCACCCCCATATTAGATAACTTTCAGTTATTTAGCATGTGACTAATTTGTTTTCTTGTGTAGCTGTAAACTAGGAACAGCAGCTCTGCATTTAGAAATGATCCTAATCAGTGATAAAGTTGGTCACAGTATTTTTTTTCCTGGTGATTTGTGAAGCTGAAAAGAGAGTCAGCTCTAAGAAAAAATCCTTCTCCCAGGTCTCTCTGCTTCTGCAGTGATGGAATTAAAGCAGAGCTTGTGAAACTGAATATAATGCTGCTTTTCCCAAATAATGTAGGTCTGTCTGTCTTTATAGTTGGACAAGAAGTCCACAGGTTTGGTTCTGAACACAGGCACAGTGCCATAAACTCCTGGTGGCATTACTGGGATATGCATCTGTTCTGCACCACTCTGGATCATGCCCCAGCTTCACCAATGAGAGCCCATGCTTTCATAAACACCAAGCAAGCCCATAGTCGTCTTGAGGTGAGGAACTGAAGGCCAACCTCATAATGCACCTGCACTGTCACTCTTAAAAAGTTACATGGTGCGCACTATGAAGCAAGGAGGAGAGAATAGCATTGATTCATAAAACAAACAAGCAAGACAGCATTTTGATCATGCTAGAGAGATATGGCAATGCCCATCCTGCAGTCTGTGCAGAAAGGCCCCATCCTTCACAGAGGAGAAACCAGAGGGTCAGACTCCCCATGGCTGTTGGAGAATCAGTCTCACAATGCTTGTTAAACATCCCTATTCCACCCTAAGCATACAGGAGCCTCTGTACTAGCCACTTGCTATTGAAGGAGGCTGATATAAAGATTTCAAGACACTGCTATTTCTGAGGTTTTGTTCACTTGATAAGTAAACTCTTCAGTCCTCAGTGCTGAGGCTTAAAATGAAGGGCTGGCTGAATTTCAGAGTTTTGGTGGCTTGAACAGAGAAGTGATCTGGAATTGCATTCCCTTACCTTCCTAAACAGAATGATCTATCTAGGTCAAAACGGAGGTTATTGGCATCTTTCCTTAGTGAAGTGTAATAATTCCCGCAGGGTTGCTAACAGAATATCCTGTTTATTTTTCATAGAGCCTTCAAAAGCCATGGGCTATATTCTATGGATTCAGTCATTAGGCATATCTCTGCTTTACTAATTCTGTATGCACAGAGCAAACTACAGATAGAAGCATATGCAGGTTTTTTGCTGTTTTATCTGCATAGCTACTGAAAATATATGCATGAAAGTTAAAGAAGAGATTTAAATTTCATACCACTTTAATATATATGCGTGTATTGCTGTAGTTGACTGGGTAAAAGAAAGATGCCCATCCCTGGGCAATAATTATGAATGGCCTAATTCACCATTTTACAGCATCATAGCAACAAATCTCTTCCGATAGGAAGGCACTGTTGAGTTTGAAAGTCTGCATGAAGACACCTCTTAAGAATTGTACCCAATTTCCACACTGTGTAACTTATATCTAAAATGTGCACTTCCAGGGCTGCTTATTAAGCAGAATTAAGCCCATATCCATGTTTCATTAACTTTATCCTTTGCAGGGGAGCCCCTTGTTGCATGTCTAGCATAATTAAACCTCATGCAGCTTTGGCATTCCCCAGTCTCTCTGTGTGGGCGGACGTTTGAAAAAAACCATGCCTGGGTAACCTGATAGAGAAAAGAAAAGACCTTGAAATATTTTGCCCATTTTGTGTGCAGGGTAATTCTGTTTACAATGCATGGGCTTATAGCTATGTTTGGATGCCTAATAAGAATTCACATGTTCACTTAAAAATATGCTATTTGTGGAGAGATCCAGCCCTAAAACAGCAGTGGAGTATGAAAACTGGCTGGCTTTCCGGGCTTTTCTCACACAGCTGAGCTCTGAGCTGCCTAGGCCTTTTAATAAACACAGAAGAGCCCGCATCATATGATTGCTATATTAAAATAATTTATTTAATGGGCCCCTCACCCCTTTTTTTTTGCTTCAAAGATTCAATTAAAATTTGCAACTCATCAGGAGGAGTATTCATTAGCCTATCCGGTGTCTTTAGAAATAGCTCTAGCTTAGAGAAAAGTGGGGCTTGTCTGTCTTACAGCAAATGTCAGGTAAGCATTTATGCAGATTGCAGAATGAAACCACTGCTGCATAAACTGGTCATAGGCAGCACCAACACTATGAAACCAAATGGAGCCCAGAAAAAATAAATATTTCTACTTGGATTTTATATGTTCATCTACGTTTTTTCTTTTGAAGAGAGGGTTTCTAGTTAACAGAATATTTTCTTTCTCTTCAGTGACCTATACCAGATGGAGGCAGGGAAACACAAGAAAGCTTTGACTGAAGGAAACCATGGCTGTCTAAGAATGAAAATGCCACGATGCATTTCTCTTCAAGGAGCCTCCTGCATGGCTGAAAAGAATTTGTCTCCTGGGTTCTGGAAGTCCCTGCTGGGAACAGCAGGAAGCTACACTGTCTAGGGTAGATTCTGCTGCCTACACCTTGCTGCAGAAGCTATCTCCCCAAAATCAAGCCTGACAATGAACAGTAGCAGGGGCATCTGAAACTGTTCCCACATATGTAGAGAGAGCACCCTGTAGACAGGCCAGCGCCTATCTCACATGTCAGGGCAAGACCTGGGGCTTCTTCAAGATGGGCTCATCTCAAAGCTGCTGTTATCACCCCAACAGCCCCATTCATCGGCCCTTCTACCATCTCCTTCCCCAGTGGGATCAGTCATTGAGGTGACACAGGGATGAGGCCTCATTGAAGGGTCTCCACCATGGAGCAAAGAAAGGATTGTTGCTCCGCTTGCAGATAACCTTGTGCAAGGCAGAGCTAAGAGCCCTCTCTTCCTGAGCAAGGGACACAAAGCTAACCAGCTGCTCCAGGCTTAGAAGCACCATCTATAGAATCATGGAATCATAGAATAGTTAGGATTGGAAAGGACCTTAAGATCATCTAGTTCCAACCCCCCTGCCATGGGCAGGGACACCTCACTCTAAACCATGTCACCCAAGGCTCTGTCCAACCTGGCCCTGAGTACTACCAGGGATGGAGCATTTACCACTTCTCTGGGCACCCTGAGCCCAGGACTTGATGAGAAAACTCAAGTATCTTCTTGCTTGTACTACAGCTGCTGAATTTAAAGATGGGACAGACAACTGCCTCCCTCCCTTCCACCCTCCACCTCTTCTTCACTGGGTTTCTCCCAACATCCAGAAACAACCTCCATCCACCCCCTTTAGGGACTTTTTCATATGCGGCAACCCATCTAATAGTCCTAAGCCACAGGAACTGCAAGGAATGGGGTGGGAGGGAAGGGAGAGCATGGACTTGAGATTTCATCCCAGGTCTTATATCTGCATTCACAGCATGGAAGAACGAGGAAAAGCCAACATACAGCCTTGTGCTTTTAATGTAAAGCAGGAGCTTGTGGCTGAAATGGGTGAAGTAGCCACCCCAGAACAACTCCTGTTGTGAGCCTGAGACTGAATATACACACATAATGCTGTTCTCTGTCTGAAGCTGAGACATATTCCTCAGACCTCAGGGTAGCAGCACTTTCATGAACAAGACAGCTCCTACAACCTTCCCTTCCCTGGGGGAGGTCAGCCATTCCCATTGCTCTCTTTGAATCCTATTTGATGACAGCCAGTAGCCTGTTTTGGCCTACAGTTTCAATATTGCAAGAGGTGGCCAGTTTCCATGGACACTGAACCCAGTTGTGTCTGAATTTACATCTCACCTGCTTGAAGGTGATGTGCTCTGGGTGGAGAGAGAGGGAAGTGTAACTCCACAGTACAGTTTGAGGCCCTGGGCCCCCAACCCCCTGAGCTCAGGAGGTCTATGGGACTGCCCATGCTTTCCCTCTCCCTGAGAGGAAGGAAAGCTGCTCAAGCTGTGAAACCTCCTCACGTTGTAACCATGTAGCCAAACACTGATTCCAACCAAAACCATTTTCAAGCATGTCAGGAAAAGCCTTTCAATTTAAAGTTTCCATCAAGCTGACTTTGCTGAAAGTCAAACAGATCCTTCCTGATTAGATCTTGGCTGAGGCAAAACAGCCCGATTATGTGATTGAGAATGATAAAAAGAAGGGAGGGAGAACAAAACTCCTATCACATTCCTCCAACAGGGCTGTGGGACTGTCTGCTCCACAACAGGTCAAGGTTTGGAGATTGGAGACATCAGCCTCCTTAATGCACCTGTGTTGCACTGGCATAGGCCAAGATGGGAGGAAGGGAGAGGAGCTGTGAAGGAGAAATAACAAACTCCCTCCAGACCCATAAATCTCTTTATCTGCACATAATGGATTCTGCCAGACCTAAAGAGGTCTTGGAAAGTTCCCTGACCCCAAACTTCTCTTGTCCCTTCATCCAGCCTCCAAATTCATAAGAAGCCCAGCATTTGCAGCCTGAGCCAGGTCATATCTCAAATCCTGCTGGTCAAAAGAGCAGTGCTTCAAAGCGCAGCCCATTGCTTTGTCACCCAGCAAAGGCTCCTTGCAGTTCGGACAGCTTGCAGGTAATGCAGTGACTCTGACAAAACCTTGTACTCCCACTGCCATCAAACTGCAGAACAGGAGTGCTGGAACATTAATCCTGCCCTCAGGATGCCTCTGAAGTTACATGCATCCAGATTGCATCTTATTTAACCAAACCTGTTTATTTCTCCCACCTACTGCAAGGGCATACTCAACACTAAATGTAAATATGAGATTACAGCTGTTGTACAGCTAGGAAAAAGTTTGAAGACACCCTCATCCCCTGCTGACCTAAAGCAATGGGTAGAAAAGATCTGGGTGAATAATACATCACTTCCCCCACATACCCCTGGCCTCCAAACACACATCTTGCTATTTAATTCGTAATTTATTTCCCTTCCCAGTAATATATCAACTTTTCTATCTCAGTAAAATGAAATCTCATGTCCTCTCTCCCCACATTCTCACAGCTAATACAACCCAATAAAAGTATCAGTAGCCTTGAAGAAATCTAACTTTGCCGAGGATAAAAAGACTGATGCAGTAGTAATTAATGATCACAGCAAGTCTGGTGAAGAGAATAAACTGAACTGACATGGAAACAGAGTTCATAGAAGCAAGTTTCATTTTAATGCAGCTATATCAAACCTCTGGGGATAAACTATTTAGTCTGCATTATTTCAAGATTCACCACTATTTTTTTCCTCAGAAAGCAGTGACTCTGGGAACTGGGAGGCATGAGAGAGATACATCTGAACAGGACCTTTCTCCACAGAACTGCAGCTAGTAGAGCGCAAGCCCAAGCCCATGGGCACATACATGGAACAATAGGGAGCAGAAGCAGAAAAGCTCTGTCAAGTTTGTACCCAATGCAGCAAACACAAGTATAAAAAGGGCACAAAGTCTGGTTACCACACTTCAAAATTGTAAGGGATCAGAACATAGCTCCAGAAGGGCCTGAGGTCTACAAAGAATATGAATCTAGTGAGACACTTGAGCAGTCTTTTTTGCTGCAGTAATAAACACATCTACAGGGGTTTCACATGGGGCTGCCCTGGGAATACGTGCTTGGTACTCAGGGTATTTAGCCCGTTAATTCTGCAATTACTGATAGTTTGCTGTTGCTGAAAATCTGGCCACAGAAGAAAAATGGTCAAGATCCTCTGTATCCAGAGAATGACAGAGAAGGTTTGGCCCTGACTGATAGATTTCTTACCACTCAATAAGAACATTTTTGAAAGGAGGGGCTCTTTCAGCCCAGCAAAGTCAGAATGAGAGCTGGAGGCTATGAGTCAAGGCAAGGCTCATGTTTATTGCTAATAGCAAAGGTAATTCATCAAGAGAATATGGCAAGAATTTTGATGGATTCTCTAGCATTTCATCCTAAGAGTCAACCTCTTTCAAAAATAGATGAACTGATATACTTGTGCACAGGGTACAAAGGACCCTGGAGAGGTCACCCTTGTACTATGCCAGCAATACCTTCATCATCACTGACAAGGTTGGTCTGATCCCTGCTTAGGGACCTGCACCAGTGGAAATCCCACAGCTCCCTTGGGAATGCGGCCCTGCACCAACCTTAGCTGAGAAAGCATTTAATTCAAATCCCACTTGTCTAGAGGTTTCTTGCCCTATTGATATCGAGACAAGGGGGGCATAAAATCACAAAATGGAATATATTGATTTCTCCAAATCAATATGCCTGCCACAGAGGACTTACTGGGCTTGCTCTGTGCAGCTCTGACTTGAGTGAAACAGATGACAAGACTGTGCAATCACAAATAGTCCCTTAACACCTAACTTCAGAGACTCACCCAGCTGCTGTCAGTATTAGAGCTAATATGAACAGAAATCCACTGTGCTGAAAATCTTGGGTTCAGAGTTATGTTTCTTCCCCACAAGGAATGAAAACAAGACCTTTTGGAGCTCACAATGTCATGCCAGAAGAGCAAGAAAGCACACTGCTGTGGTAGAACTGGTAGTCTTGCCACTTTCAAGACCAAGACTCAAGTATTTGCTCTTGCACAAGGCAGAGCAGCAGCATGAACCTGGGTCTTTAAATTCCTGTGCACAGGCTCTTCTGAAATGATTATTTCCTTTCTCCCTCCCACAGTTTTGATTCATTTGTCAAGGGAAAAAAAGCACCACCAGTGATTGTTTGGCTGCTCCTTCTGCAGGCATCCATCACGGCCCCCCAGCCTGTATCACTCATACATGTGTCTGACACAAATTACAGTTTTGGCCTTTTCCCTCAGACTGCTGAACTCCAGAAGTGCTTAAAGCAGAAACTGCAATAGCTGCTCTAACCACTTTGTAGGGCTTTTCTGGGGCTTTCCAAGGATAAGTTTTGGACATGGGCAACCCTGTTTCCTTCCTTTTTTCATGACCTCTCTGCAGCTCCTGTCTTGGACAAGGAATTCCTGTACAGTGTGATTTCTTTCCTCCTCTCTGGCCTTGCTTGCTTATCCTCTACCTTCATATGCATGTGGGGTTTTTTTTCCCACTTCAGGGAGTCTTATTTTTTTTCCCACTTCAGGGAGTCTTATTCAATTTGGTCTTATTCCATCATGTAACATAAAAAAACATTGTTCAGTTAAAGGGCTGTTGGAGCCTACTACAAACAAGTCATTGATTGGACCTGGTGTCCAGAGAATACCCCAGTAATACAGTAGAAATAAGCAGAGAGCAATGCCTTCTATCAAGCATGAAGAAACAGGAAACAGAACCTTCTTAGCTTTCAAAGTCATGTCCTAAAGCCTTCTCTTTTGAATGTAGCTGGGTCCTTCAGGGTGAGAGGTCAGGGTTCCCAGAGTTTCCCCTTCTAAGCGCACAAAGAAGGCTGCAAAGTTGGGAATTCTCCTTCTCATTGCCCAGGGACAATACTGGTTGGCCCTCCTGTGGCACCTAACATGACAACCATGGCTCATCCTTGCCACCTGCCCCATGGCATTTACAGGAACTCATGGGCACTCCTGGGGCAGCTGTCTGCTGTGTGACACTCCTGCCCCAGTACAGGGGCAAGGGGCAGCCTCCATTAACAAGACGAGCTGGCAAGGCAGCCAGCAGCACTCCAGCAAAAGGTGCTGTAGAGTTGCCAAGTGTTATTGGATGTAGGAAAATTCACAACAAGAGAAGTAAGAGCTTTCATCTTTCATTATGACTGAATGCTCCTGCTCTAGCCTGTTGGAAATATAATGGATTCACCAAAATTCAAGCAAGGCAGTGTAAACCAGGAGGCAAGTTATGTGCACTTCCTTCTGGCAGAAGCTCATACATAAGAGTAGCTCTGCTTGGTAATTAGAAAATGTATGTGTGGGGATGAGGAGCCTGAATTAAAAGCCACTTAAGTGGGTACTTGAGTAATTATTGGGAGGCTTTTGAAGAGACATTTTTGTCAGTAATTAAGGAGAATATGGCTTTGTGCTGCATACAGGTGGCAATACAGCAGTGGAGATCATCAGTGCTCCACACAAGAGATGACCAGCTATCTATTAGCTTCAGATGCATGTTGGGATTTTCTGCCCAAGGAACATCCTTCAGAGTTGAAAGACGGCCAGGGCAACAGAGGGACTGAAAACCTGATGCACTCAGACTCTAGATCATCTGCACCAGGGAAAAAGATGCACAAAATATATTTTACGAACCCACCTAGCTCCTAAGGTCCATGTTCCTCAGCTGAAGTGGGTCCTGCTGGTGTCTCTTCAGCCCAGAATTCCTGGAAAACCTCCCCACCCAAAGCAAGTGAAGCAAAATGTGCTGGGCTGTTCCAGCCTGGAGGATGCTTCCTGTCCGTGGTGTGAGCAGGTTAGTTGTGATCTGGCTTCAAGGTTGCTCTCTCTTTTCCTCTACTGGTTTTCATAAGCCTCATGCAAGCTTCATTTTCCATCTGTTTCATTTTAGGGATCTTTGTTAAAGAATGACAATAATACATGCTCTCTTCTCAGTGATAAGAAGAAAGTATATTATTTCTTCATTTATTCTTATTTCTTCATTTATTCTTATTTCTTCCGTTTATTACAGCAGATACTAACGTAAATCGGTGCCTCTAATACCCACTCCAGCTCACCTCAAATGCTGTAAAATGTGGGGTGCAAGAAGATGCCCTCACATTAGAAGACTGATTTGACAATGGAGTCACTAAGAAATAGAGGTACTTTTTAAGTCTGCAGCATCTTCCTCACAACAAACTCAGGCACTTAGTAAAATGAAGTATCAACCTGTAGCTACCAGGGAAGTGTCTGCCTTCTCATTAAAGATGCAGGTAAAGAAGCTTGAAGACTGTAGCAGTAAAAAGAACATATGCAACACAAACATATTCCATAGACACTTCATTACCTTCAACAATTTTCAGGTTCTTGCTTGCTCATCAGCAAGTCACAACATCAGCTGTTGTGAGCCAAAAAAAGTGGGCTGGGATTATTGAAATGGACATAAATGAACCAGACTTTCAGACATCACTGATGCTCCAGGGATCACCACTGAAGCTCCAGCCTCAGCCCGTTGGACTACATATGCGCTGTGCAGAATGTGGTGTGCAAACATGCACCAGCTCTTGCCACAATTGAACATGCCAGACTGACTCCTGTAAAGTTCCCCTTCAAAAGAAATAGTTGACATGAGTCAGACAGCAGACAGTTGTTCTACAAAAGCCTATGTGCTACTCCCAGCCTTAGTACTTGCACTTAGATGGCTCCAGCAATGAATGCAATCCTCTCACTTTTCTTTCTTGACCCCTGCCACTACGTAGGGGCTGAAAAGTCTTCTTTCTGTTGCTATTTATTTAACCATTTCACAGGGACTCTGACAGCTTGAATTGGCCCCAGCTTCTCAATTTTTTGGAGGGATAAAATGAAACAAAACCAAACCACAAAAAAAAAAAAAAAAAAAAAAAAAAACCAAAACCACCCAAAACAACCAAACCACCACACCCCAAAAAAAACAAACCCCAAACCCCTCAACATTCCCGCCCCAAAAACCAACAACAAAGAAAAGAGCATAAACCTTCAAAGAAAAGAGCATAAACCTTCAAACAGAAAATATACCCACAATATTGTACAGCTTGAATGAAAGCCTTTGTTTTTAAAACAAAGGATGCTCCCTTGTGTTGCCTGAAACCCTGGCACTGGAGCAATTAAGAAAGTGAAACTGGCTACAAACTAAAGCAGAATGGACATGTTTCATAGATCTTCATTGCCCAGGCAGAAAGAAATGTAAACAGGCATAAATTACAGCAGCCAGAGGACAGATAAGCTGAAGGACAATGCTGGCACAAGAGCAAACGGGTAGAAACTGGCCAAGAATAAATTTAGTCTAGAAATTAGACATGGTTTCTAGTGATCAGAAGAGTAAGACACTTCCAATAGGACCAATGGGCACATTTCTGCTCTCATTCTGCCCCCTCCTTTCCAAGGAGAATTTTTGTATGCATTTGTGAAAATACTGTGTTATGCAGCCTGCAGTAACATGAGCCAAGAGACTCTTTCTCTCTTCTGTAGCACCAATAATTTTAGTATTTAAAAAGGTCCCTTTTTAATGCTCTAAGAATGGGAGACATTCGATACACACTCAGTAGGGTTTTTTAATGAGCACTGTCCCTTTATCCTTTTCTAATTGTTCCATCTTAAAATATATCTATCCTAATAGCCACACTCATTTAATAGATGATTTAAAGTAAGCAACAGCAATTATTGAGTGTTTTTATTTAGTGGTGTCATTAAATAAAGTGAAAGGAAATAAGATCTCATAAAATACAAATGTTCTTATGCAAGTGTTGTTAGGGATGCAATGACAGGAGGGCATTCAGTCAAGTGTTTATATTGTCACTATCATTCAGACATCAGCTCCAAAGCTTATCCAATTTAAAAGCCACTCCTGCAGATCTTTGCTATTGATTGGTGCAGTCTGCAGAAACACCATTTTCCACAAACTCATTCCAAAATAGGGAAGCTGTCAGCTCTCACATGTGAGGTCCCCTGGCCAGCTGGTACCCATATCTGTCTTCATGTGTCTTTTCTGCTTGCCCAATACTTTGGGGATACCCAG